AAATAAATAAGTAAATATATATATATGTACATATATATATATGGATATATGCACGCACTTATCTTCCATTGGTGTCCCTGCTCTTCATGGCGGGCGGATCTTTGAAAACTCTGAGCCTGAAGCATCACTGCCACAACACAAGACAGAACCTAAACCCTAAACCCTAAACCCTAAACCGTGAAGCTTAACGGATCTGTAAGCCCCCAGTCAGCAACCAAAACCACCAGACTCAGCACTTCAGGCCTCGACATATTTCCTAGTGTTTGTCCTTGTCTGGCCCCAAGGGCCCGACATTGCATCCTCACATTCCCTAGTGAGAACCAGGTAGAACCCTTCAATCCAGCACCGGTCTGACCGGAAGGTTTGGCCCAAGACTCTGCTACAGGACTCTGTCGTGAAGTCTCTGGCATCTGCTATGGACTACGACTTGCTTCCAAGATGGGGAGCCCAGGAAGCTTTGGTCAAGGCGTGGAGCAGCGCGGTTAATCAGACAAGTTTCGTAGCAGATGGTCACACGAAACCTGCCTGCTTCCGACGCGGTACTTGTGCATGTCAGGCATAAGCAACGCGGTTGGGGGGGAGGGGGGACGGCGTGGTTTACCAAACTTTTATCCATTAATAACCTGCTTGAAGTAGGTTTTCTTCAGGGGAACGAAGGACTTGGAGATCCGAGGTGTTTCTTTGCCTCGTCTAGCTTGCCCGTCCTCTTTATTGAAGTTTATGGTTTGGGGTTCGGGTTTAGGGTTTAGCGGTAAGGTCCAGGAATTGACAAGGAAGCTGGTTTCGTGTGTTTGTCCAGGCGGATCTTCGAAAGGGATGTTGATTCGAGGTCGAGTTGGCGACGCAGCCATGCACGTGCGAATAGTTTGCTTGTTACACCCCCAAATCGCGATGCCCAACAGGGTATCAGCCCTAAATGCTAAATCCTAGACAACACTGAGGCGACTGCTTCGGCAAGGGTGGCGACTTTGTCATAGCGGTTCAGGAGCCTGCCGAATCGGGAGTTGGCGAAGGTGAGGTGCTTTGCACGGAGTACAAGGTGTGGTCCGTCCTGCTTTGTCAGTGGTCTCCTGTGTTTGAGGCCATGATGAACGGCAGTTACAGTGAAAGTGCACAGCGTCGGGTAGTGATCGCAGACTCGACTGCCCCAGCGGTGGAAGCCTTCTGATTGCGGTTTCTATACTCCGGGCAGATTCCTCCTGACGATGTCGTGACGTTAATGCGAGTCATGATGCTAGCAGACAAGTACCAAGTGCCCTTGCTAAACAACATCTGTAGAGACAAGGCCAAAGACCACATTCGGATTCTGGATGCCTGCTTGACTTTCAAAGTCGCGCACCGCCTTCAAATTGCCGAGTTTCGGGGAATTGCTCCGGCCCAGATTCTGGCCTTTCCGGAAACAGCATTGCAAAGTCATGAGATGTTGGAACCGCAGCTAATGCTAGAAGTCCTCAGCTCTCCCTTCCTGTGCAGCAGCGCCACGCGAATGTGGCCCTTACTGCACCCCTGGGCATCCGCCACAGGCGTTGACTTGGAGGCATTCATGCGTCGCCTGAAAGAACATGTTCAGAGTACAGATGCCGAGCTCCGAAATGGCTTGCCGGCAAAAGGAGAATATTCCAATAATGTCCTGCAGAGACTCTGGCACCGGTATGAGGCCCTTCGGAATTCTGAGGGAGCAGGCCCTTTCCTCGGATATTGGGTGAACTTGCAGCCAAGTTCGCCGAGTCTGTTCCAAGAGTACCAAACGGACATTGATATGCTCAACAAGCTGGCCAGCAACAGAAAAGGCCTGCGACTCAAGGCCGGACAGGCATTGACCTGGATGTTGCCTCATGCCGCAGTACATGTCGTGGGACTGGAACTCCACAATGATTGGGGTGCCAGATTCCAGATCTCTTGTTCGTGTGACGGCTTGCAGTGGCACGTTCTTCTCGGTTCGGACCCTGAGGAAAGGTTTCAGAACGAGTCGCTCGAGGAGGACTATGTTCTGTGCTACTCTCCTTCGCCAGCGAGATATTTCAAACTCGACATCATGGATGGTGGGTTCGCGGGCTTGGTTCGCATTGGAGGCATTTTGCTGTCCAGCTAGAGGATTTACCTGGCTTTTATGATGCAGATCGAAACAGCTAGCAGCATTCCATAGCCCTAGCTCAATCCGTGGCATCAAGTCAAATCGTACCGATGCAGTTTTTGCAACAGATAGAAGTCATTGAGCATAGCTCAGCTAGTGCAAAGCAATTTACCGACAATCCTTACAATGTGGCGAAGGATACGTATTTCACAAGAGTTCCGTTTGTTTTCAGTCAAGTTCAACAGCCTGCATCTATAAATTGTAGAGTACGCTGGATCCCGATGCTTGTCTGCTGTCTGGGGCACGTTGCTTGAAGACAGTTTTTGAGATAACCTTGGCCCTGAACCCCTCAGCCCTACACCCTAAACC